TTTGTATTTTGATTTTTTTGAAAATTTTGCACATTTTGTTAAGCAAGCGCGCTGCATATCTAATTTAGAGTCGAAATATTAAAACAGTATTCTTAGTGTTAATAAATAATGATCGTTTAATAAATTTTGAAGATCTCAACGATTACTTCCCAAATATCAAAAGCAGTTATATTTAGTTAAAAATATATATCAAGTACTTTTATTAAAAAATATTGCCAGTTTAGAGAATGATGAAATAGTTAAAGATTACTCCCAAAAATCAGACAAATTAATTCTACACTTGATTATAAATACATATTATTGTTATCAATAAAAAATGACTATGATTTGCAAACAAGTTAACAATTATCGCAAACATCAGATGCATCAATTTTATACGTAATAAGGAATTAAAACTGATTATATTATATATTAGTAATGCATTTGATTTTTGTGTGTAAACAGTAGCTTTTTCAAAAATTCCGCGGTATATTATTAATAGACATTTTAAAGTAAAATATTTGAAAAAGCTATGGGTAACTTAATTTTTTACTTGATTATGAATAGATGCTGATTGATAATAATAAAAAAATACCGAAAGTTTAGTAAATTAAAAAAAAGGCTAATGGCTAACACAAAATTTCAAAGTCAAATTTCAATTCATCAAAAAAAGCTCTTGAATCAATTTTGAAGGCACAGAATGTTTAAAGAATAGTTGATAAAAGGTTTAATTATTCTCCATAAATATTTATTTAATATGTTATTTATCATAATCATTGAAACAAAGATAAATATAAAATCTAAAACTAATGTTTTAAATATTAAATCATCCAAAAACTAGTTTGTAAAAGCCAAATTAATGTCAAGACTTAGTGCAAGAAGGACTACCTTTTAATAAATAAAAATATTTTATATAATGGTTACCATGAAAGATAAATAGATAAATGTTTATAGATGAAACCGATAAAAGTGGAATATTTTTCTCGCCATAAAGATCTTACAGCAGTTTTAAAAACCCAAAAAAATCTGTATTGAATTAACAGAAAGTTTATTTGATTTTCAATAAATTCTCATTTAAGTGTTAAATTAAGTATTAAATCATCCAAAACTAGTTTGTAAAAGCCAAATAAATGTCAAGACTTAGTACAAGAAGGACTACCTTTTAATAAATGAAAATATTTTATATAATGATTACCATGAAAGATAAATTGATAAATGTTTATAGATGAAACCGATAAAAGTGGAATATTTTTCTCGACATAAAGCTATTACAGCAGTTTTGAAAACCCAAAAAAATCTGTATTGAATTAAGAGAAAGTTTATTTGATTTTCAATAAACATTCATTGAAGTATTATTTATTAGTCATAAAGAAGGTTGAACAATCTATTTTTACTAGATTTAGAATTAGTAATGTAATTAAGATATATTAGAATTGTTATAGTACATATATTAAAATGATATATAAAAATTATTGTAAAATATGAATATAAATAAGTATAAATAAATATAAATAAGTCAAACAGCTAAAGTAAAGTAGTAAATTATTTAAAAGTGCAATTTTGAAAAGCCAAAATTGGAAATTTAGGATTGTTTTAATATTTATTAATATTAATTTTGATTTGTGGTAAATAGTTAAAGTTTGTATCATTCAAATTCTATCAGAAACTGGAATAAGTTTGAGAAAATTAAAGATTATACCTGGTACTACAATTAATAGAATTTACGATTATACGCTTATTGTGTTTTTATACTTATTGTAGTTAAGCTATTTATTTCAGAAAGAAAACTATCACATTATTTATCACAGTTTGAAAATTGTAAACTATTAGCTCTAACTTTTTTGAGAATCACAAATAAAAGTATAATTACTTAGCAATGATTTGTCAAAAATTTGTCAACAGATTTAAATAGCATTAGGACCGTTGATTTGAATTGTGTTTTGATTTGAGTAACAATTGTATTGGTTCGACGTACTTCTATGTTTTAGTTAACAGATTAAAATTTAATATCTCATTATCCTTAGTCAGTGATGTTAATAAATAGCTAATGTGCCATTCGTTATATGAACATGTACGAATCCAGACATATGACATTTATCCCGAGATCAGACAAGTTCAACTGTCGAGGTCTCCGAAAAGTTCTCCTTATTTATGCATGTGACGTAGGTCGTTTGACCTTCCGGCGCTTCTGCCAGAATAGTTGACAGCCCAGGGAAATTGGAAATACAGAATAACTGATGCATTCCTTATTACAAAGAAACATGTTTCATTTTTTTATTAACGTCTAATTCTATAAAAAATTATATATGAAAATAAATTACCTTAATTGCAAATTATTATTCCTCAATTGCAATTGCATTCATTGTGAAGTGATTTCAAATTTATTTTGTAACGCAGCAACAAATTGAGAAATTAATTGGAGTTACAATAGACAAATTTTATTCTTGTTCTATTTAAGCAGGTGATAGCTAAGTTTTATACATTTGTAAACAACTGTGTGTGTTTTGCTCAATGCCAAAAATGTTGATATTTTTGCTATTGCATATACTTTTATCAATAATGTTATTCAAATATTTCTGATTCTGATATGAATATGTTCGAGCTGATTTTTGCCTAGATATACTGTATTTTTACAAGAACTATAAAATTATTCATTATAATATCATCAACGATATAAATTATCGTTGTGATGAAGTTAATTTCGTGTAAACAGTATAATTACTTAAAGCCAAATTGAATCTTCGTGTCCCTACTCTATATAATACATGTCTAAAATGCATTTAGTTTTTTTAATTAACTCCTTATTCGAAACTGTTGGATATATATTAAAGTATCAACTAATACTGGCTATCCAGCCCTATTATTATCCATCGATTGATACATATGTTTCTAGCACACCATTCTCTGTGCCATAATTTACCAGGATCAAACGTTTTATCTAACAAACTATCTAACAAATTCGTCTGGATTTGAATTCTCCATCTGCAACCGATGTAAAGCACCGAGATGAGATATGCAAACTATATGCTTATATAGTTATTCGCTTTGAATTAAGTTTGTAGCTGGAGGCGAATTAATTGAAACTTAGTTTTATGAGCAAATAGTTATTCAATTACAATTTTCAGTTATTAGGGTATTTTATTTCTGATCAAATGATAGAATATATATTATGGATATTTTGTTATAGATAGAAGGTTATTAAAAAGTACTACTAGTACTAAAGAGTTATTGTAAATTCTAATAAATGCTAATAATAAGGTGACCATACGTCCCGGATTGGCCAGGACAGTCCCGATTTTCCGCCTTGCGTCCCATACAAAATCCATAAATTTTGTATTTCACAATGGTCAAATAATGTAGTTATGATTTTGTGAAATTCCTTTAAATTAAAGAAAAACGTTGGATCTTCTCCTTCTTACACGGCCCATGAGGCAAAAAGGAACGAATGACAAATTTCGAGAGAAAGCTAGTGGTGTTTGGCATCGTGCCTTATGGCAAATTCCTGAAACTTCTCGTACCGTAACGAAAAATTCCATAAATACTAAATGTTTTTAAATAGATTATTATAAATACTGTAATATTGTATAATATTTAAAAGAATTATATAGACTGAATTCAAAAAAATTATTTAAGTATATATTTTTAAAGTATTCATTTAAAGTATATAAGTGAGCTCTAGAACTTTAGCCAGAATCAAAATTAAAATCTGAACTATTTTTGATATAAAAAAAAAATAAAAAAAAGTTGTTTGCAATTGTTTTGTCCACACAAACAGAAAGTTTTTTAAATCATTCCAATCAGATGCTTAGTTCTCTCAAAAACGGCCATTTTTTGCGCATTTAGCTCTATACTCTCAAAATGATTGGACCTGCCTTTGCCAAAAACTAATCACCACTTCTCCCAATCATTACATTACAAATTGAATGTTTTTTGGATCATTCAAATCGGCTACTCAGATCTCTCAAAAACTCGGTTTCTATTTTCTGCACTCTTTGCTCCGTATCTCCGTAACGGCTGGACCTGCCTTTGCCAAAAACTATTCAACACATCTCACTATCAATAGGAATCGAATGTTTTTTGAACCATTCAAATGAGTTGTTTCATGCGCCCGGAAACAAGAACGAAAAAATGTGGACACACAAAACACACATACACATCTATTTTTCCAGAGGTATGCCAAAATGTTCAAAAGTCTCTGAAACGTGAATATCTGCAAAATTTTCATGTTTGATTTTCGAACTATTACTATAACTTACCCTACGGGAAATTAATAAATGAAGAAAATTCGTATATTAATAACAATTTAATATAATTTAACTATAAACTGCATGCTGTTATTACTATTGAAAATATGGTTAAATAAAGTTGTTCATGATGTTTAAGTGGGTAATTTATTTACAAAATACTAGTCCATTACAAAGAGGTTTTACGATACAAAAATACATCGTACATGTAAATGTGATTAGCAATTGAGTATAAAACCGATGTTCGTGGTTCGATTATCGCCGTCGATGTATCTTTAATTTCCGTTTTGGTTGCACTAACATGCAATTCGAAACTGGCGGGCATTTACGTTTAGGTCTCAATAGTGTTCTATATAAAAACATGATTGATGGGGGTAAAAATATACCCCTGTGCATTCTGGGTATGTGCATAGATTTAAAGTTTCTCGAGGGAATTATGTAAATTACTTTAGAGTATGTTTAAATAACGGATAATACTACTCTGAGCATTACTTTCGATTCGATTCAGGGAATATTTTTTTTGAGCATTTGTTCTGTTTATAATACCTGTAAATAATTTTTAAGTGCCCAATAAGATGCACAGTCCTTTTCTAATTAAGATTCAACAGTTTTTTGTATAACCTTTGAATCTTACATATGTGGTGGTAAACCTTTATAATAATGTGATAATTTCGATTTCATGTAAGTTCAAGATGACTCAGCAACAAAGAATTTTTTTCATTTTGTGTCGGTGTAATATTTACGTATATAAATTAAATGTTTCAAAATGTTACATACCGTCATCCATGCAACCAAGTAATTCGGCACGCAGACACACTGTTCTTCTATGCAGACTGTGCGGAAACAGGCGTACTTTACTTGCAAATATTGGGGGCAATAAGCGATGCTCCACTACTGAAGCTGTATCACTGTTGCCAGTCAATACCTGAAAATATACATAATTATTATATAATTACATAATATAAGCACAGAAATAAATAAAGTTTCATGTGGACATTGCATATTAGGTACTTGTAAAAGTTATTTATAGGGTTCTATAAATTTCAAACTAATTTTTATCAAAAATGCTTATGATGGTAACCTATTAGATAATCATCTATTAAGATTTATTTTCATCATTGAAAGTCCCCGAGTAATAATCAATATCTCAAAAACACGTAATTTTAGTTATTTTTAAATACAATATTTGAAAGTGGAGGGCAAAATAAATGTATAACCAGCCATCACTTCGAGTTTAACGACTACGCTATCAAGGGATAAACGGTAATGTTTGAAATTCCATAACATAAGTATTTCTTTTGTTGTTAATTTTTTTCGTTGTAAATACTGCTGTTTAGTTCATGAGGCCTTAATATAAGGTTTAAGCTTAATCCTGGTTTTGCACCTTATGTCCCGGGTTTTTCTCAAAGCAATATTTGTTCCGGAACTAGATCTTTTGTTTCGGACTGTCTCGGGTTTTGAGAAGTATAATATAATTATAATAGAAGTCTAATTGATTATTTACTTTTAATTGATAATAAAATTACAACTCCCTATCAAATATCTGAAAACGTAGAACTAATATGCTTATATGGAAAAGTAGGGTTAAAAAAACATTCTTAATTTTGTACTTTTATTTCCAATTCTACAAAGATTAACAGAAATTATAAAACTGAACTTTTTGTATGCATGGAATAAGTGCTAATTTTTTTTAAATAATTATGAAGAAAATTAAACTTAATTAAAATTGATAATTATGAAGATAATAAGTTTGAAAGCTGAAAAAACATATAAAAATCTAATGTTATTTTCAAGTTAGATTAAACAGAATTTTTCATATAACCTTTATATTAGTTCACATGTGGGAGAGGCAAAAAGGACCAACCTTTACCCTAGCAAAGGTATAAACATAACATAACATGATGAATTAGCTGGGAGTTTTCCTTAACATTGTCACAAAGTTGGTTGTTTGACATGTTTACTATTATTATTATTTGTATTCAAGTTTAATTTGCAATCTTTATTACATTGAGCAGAGAATGCTGACAAGTATATGTTAAAATAAGGTGATTACAAATTAGTAGATACCCCAAGTGCCATATCTACTATGGGTAATTGAATAATAATAGTAAAAAACTGAAAACAAAAGAAAATAAAACAATAAAATATAGTAAAATTAAAATATGCCCCGGCGTTTTTTTAGTAGTTCCCCAAAGATGAATACCGTAGATCCACACGGGTTGGATCACCGCCTTATATATAAGTAATTGTTGTAAATTGACAATTCTGATTTTCTGTTTGGGAGCCAATTTTTGAAAATTTTATCCATCTGTTTTTTTGTTCTTTATGTGTATTTTCCAATTCAGTTTCCAATTTGATATATTTTATTTGCCGTCATATAACAGGTTTACATTATACAATATAATCGCTCAAATTCAAATTAGATCTTAATGCTCCGCCTACCATATCGCAACATTTATAGTATTTGTGACTTGAATTGTAGACTCTTTATATTCAGTACTAGTTTAAATCACCGAGATATTTTTGTTGCAAATCGCAAAACAATCTAATGAAATAATTGAATTTTGTTTGATAATTTGAAGCAGCAATTAACTAAAATAGTAACTTAACTGTTTTTATGAATTTTGTACGTTGACAGTGTTGGCACCAAAGCACGAATATAAACGTTAGAGAAAAACCAAAAAATAACTGAACTAATAATTTTTATGCTTACGCCATTATTTTTGATTTTTGTCCTAACATAGCAATTAATATTTTTACATTATGACGGGACAAAATTTATAGTTTAAACTTTTGGCTCTCAAACTTCCTTAAAACTACGTTTCAGTTTCAGTTTAGTTTCAGGATCGAATCGATCGATCATATATTACATACAGGTAACCAAGTAACTGAACTAAATAACACTTTGATACGCAGTTCATCATCGTATCTGCTCTGCTCTGGAACTGCAAAGTTAGGAACTTGTGCATCGCGCAAAAGCTACTTCTGCGTCGAGATATAACGCCGTTTGAGATTTGATTATCGTTTAGACGCTGATGGATCCAATTTGATACTGAACGCTGGATATACAACTCTAATTGATAATAAAGCAAATATATTGCTCTACGAATCGTATACAATGGTTTAGTTGAATAATTTGAACAGCACGGGGTTCGTCCCCGATATTTATAGAACCACAATGAAGAAACAAAATTGCATGTTTCACTAAAGATATTATTAACTTCCCGTAAATTTTTGCATTTCTCGACGTTTTGAAGGTTTATGAACATTTTGGAATACATTAGAAAAAATTGATGTGTGTGTGTTTCGTGTGTCCACATTTTTTCTTTCAGGTTTTAGGGTGCACGGATCAACCGATTGATGGGGTAATGCGCTGATTAGTTTTTGGGTAAGGTAGGTCCAGTCGGTACGGAGATAAAGAGTAAAGAGTGCAGAAAATAGAAATCGAGTTTCAAATGAACGGAGCATCCGATTTGAATGATCTAAAAAACATTGAATTAGTAATGATTGGGAGAAATGGCTATTAGTTTTTGGCAAAGGCAGGCCCAGCCATTTCAAAGATACAAAGCTAAATATACAAAAAATGAAAAATTTCTGCTTGTGTTGAAAAAACATTCTGATTTCAATTTTACATCTGGCTAAAGGTTTAAAGCTCACTTATGTACTTTAAATATTTTTTTTTGACTTTGTGATTGAGTGTATCTTATAAATATAATACAATATTACAGTATTTATAATAATCTATTTGAGAACATTTAATATTTTTCAAACATTTCGTTACGGTACGGCAATTTGCCTTCAGGCACGATGCCATCACCACTAGTTTTCAATAGCTTTAGATTTATCCAAGTTTTGCACTTGGTTTTGTTGGTTTTAGAACATTAACTACTGTGTTTATTTTTGGTTTTGTTGGATTTGGAACTTCAACTAATGTGTTTATTTTACTACTAACTACTTGTGCATGAAACTGATGTGAATGGAAGACCCAAAAGAAAAATTAGTTTTAAAATTGTATGTGTTTCACTATCGATATTTTCTCATATTTATTAATAATTTCACATTTAACGCCGTTTTGCATTAAATTGCTTTAATATATCCACCTGTTTATATATTAGATAGTAAAATAAATATAAATAGAGAACACCTATCCCCCGTTTACACGGAAGATATGTTCCATAAAAACCGTGTAACTCAAAAAATACACTTTTATATGAAAAAATCGTGCTGTACGAAAATCAGAATAAAAGTCAGGTTTTAATATGATGAATATTAAACACATTGAACTAAAATAAATGTTTATTATACGTAATTCAAACACATTTAATAAATTATTAAAACTAATAAAATAAATTTAAGTTTTGAACAAGTTTCCATTTTATCTACATATTTCATAAACAAAGACTACTAAAAATTCATAATTGTAACAATCATTTTGCAGTGTTTGTCGTTTGACAGTAAACAATGAAAATTTATTGTAGATACACGAAAATAAGTGTAAAAATTAATGAATTTCGTTAAGAAATATATTTGAGAAAATAGTGTGAGATCGCAAATGTGCAAAATGATTACCGTGTAAAACAGGGAATACGTGTAGTAAATTTAATTACATAGTTATAAAAGATGGTGGATGGTATTGACTGGGTGATTGTCATTTGTTTTTCAGTGAAGTGTCAATAGATTTTGTGAAATAAGTAATAAGTCCGGAATTGATTCTAAATCTTGCCTTTTTAAAGGCACCGGGCTTAATACTTACAAGGTAATATACACCTTGTTCAGTGTTCTAAATTTTAAAGGTGAACGTGCCTTTGCTGACTCCTTTTCCAAACACTGGGTCGGTGTTGGTAATGGTTAGAGGATAAGCGCATTTTAGAAAGTGATTTTTCTAAATTTATTTGTTTTAAGTACTTTTGATTTATTTTCTTAAAATCAGTGCCGAGTATATTGAAGAGCCCAAGGATATTCCCAGGCAGAAGCCTGGGAAGAAGATCAAAATGAGCATGGAGGTGCAGACCAGCGGTGCCCTCAAAAACAAATTCAATGCACTATCGGACCGATCGGACATGGATACAGACAGGGAGTTGAACGAATATAGAAAAGTGTCACGGAGAAAGAGAGCTAAGAAGAAGGAACCAGAGGGAAATGTTGGACAGCAGCCATCCGAGTCTGGCAATCGAGAATCACCGACAAGTTAAGCAAAACACCTGAGAAAATACCACCCATCATCATCAAGGCAAACTTAGAATTGAAAACAATAAAGTACATCAGAGACACAACTAAGATCCAATTTAGATATCAGTTTTTCAACACGCAATTACACAAAATTTTTACAGATACAATCCAGGAACACGAGCAAGTTAAAAAGGTATTGAGAGAATGCCATTACCAATTCTACACATACTCGATGAGAAAAGATTTGCCGAAGAAGAAAATTACAATGACTGGACTTCATCCTTCGATACCCGAAGCTGAAGTTTGCAAAGACCTCTTATTGAAAGGAGTTAAAGTCAGACAAGTGATACAGATCAAACGAAAGTTATCGGATGGCAGCCAACATAAGCTGCCCATATACATTGTCTCTCTGGAGAAAGATCAAGACATGTCGGAGCTGAAGCAAATTAGTAACATTGGAGGGCACATCTTCTCTTGGGAGACATACAGGTCACAAAATAGGGCTCTACAGTGTCACAACTGTTTGAATTTTGGACACACATCGTACACCTGCGATATGAAGTACAGGTGTATAAAGTGCCTCGAGATGCACGCGCCAGGTGCGTGCAAGAAACTACTAACCGAGGCACCGATGTGTGTCAATTGTAAGAAAGAACACCCGGCGAACTATTCTCAGTGCTCCGCACTCCTTAATTTCATTGAGAAGAAGGAAAACGATACTCTCAAGAGAAGAAAAGTATATGCGCCAGCTCCAACACCAATGCCACTGACAAGAAGTTTCTCGTCAGCTCTAAATCCGACAAACACCGGCCCTAACTTCAAACCTGATTATCCTCAACTCCCTGTCCCACGGACATCATACCGACCTCCGCTCCAGTCCACACTATCACCGGCCTGGCCTTCACCATCACCAAGACCAGCACCGATCCGGCCAACACCATCAACGGTCGAGTTTACAACCAACCAGCCAGATCCAGATCTCAACACTCCGGAAGGACTCTTTACTGCTATGGGCGAGATCAGGAAGCTATTTGCGGATCCCCAGGTAAAGCAAATTTTCAGTGAGCTATACAAACTGACAAAAACACTAAACACAAACATGACTTATAACGACAAATACACAACAATTTTGAACTTTCTTACATCATCACCATAAACCAATCGCAAGACTTACAAATAATGCATTTCAATTCTAATGGACTTAAAAACAACATTGACGAACTGAGACAGACGATAACAAAATACGATCTGGACATAGTACTGATTAACGAGACACACTTCAAACCTACGGACAGACTCTATATAAACAATTACAAAGTTTACAGAAACGACAGACAGACGGACGCACGCGGATGGGGCGGCACTGCGATTTTGATTAAGTCTAACATCAGACACGAGCAAGTGCCAAACCTGACAGCGGGCAGTTCTGAAATAACAGCTATTAATGTATACAAGAGAGGTCAAAAAGTAACCATAATATCGATTTACATCCCGGCAAGCAGACTAGAACATACGGACTTACAAAGACTACTGGACTCGAACAGATTTGTACTTATGGCAGGAGACTTTAACGCACAACACACATCTTGGAACTGTAACTTCAACAACGCGAACGGAAACAGACTTTACGAATACCTGACCGAACACAACACCACAGACGCACAACTACATTATCCTGACACGCCGACCAGATACGCCACCGTACAGACGCACCACCACAGTACGATCGATTTGGCATTGACAAAAAATCTACACGTAACATCCGAACCCATAACAAGAACACTTTTCAACTCCGACCATAATCCAGTTTTCATGACCATTTCAGACAGACTAGACGTCGACCAGACTCCCAAACGCAAATTTTTAGATTACACCAGAGCCAACTGGCCAATTTTCAGAGACATCATCAC